TCCGATCTAAAGGGAAAGGAAGTTTGGGTTCACCATGCCAGCTAGCAAGAGTCCACGAGTTTTAGTCTCCCTGCAAATTCTTTCTGTAGATGATCATCAGATTCCTGTAATTTGTAAAGTGACCTGTTTGCCGAGTTAGAACTTCCCCTCGGACATGATGAGCTTGAACTTCGTGACCAAGTTTTTGCGCCTGGTGGGTCTGACCTTCTTCCAGCAGCCCGGAGTTGAAGACAAGATGATAAAGGGACTGGAGCACCTCCCCTATGAGGAAAGGCTGAGAGAGTTGGGCTTGTTCAGCCTGAAGAAGAGAAGACTGAGAGGGGACCTCATCAACACGTACAAATATCTTAAGGGCGGAAGTCACGAGGATGGAAGCAGTCTGTTTGCAGTGGTGTCCAGCGACAGGACTAGGGGCAACGGGTGCAAACTGAAACATAAGAGGTTTCAGTTGAATATGAAGAAAAACTTCTTTACTCTAAGGGTGACAGAGCACTGGAACAGGCTGCCCAGGGAGGTTGTGGAGTCTCCTTCTCTGGAGATATTCAAGGCCCGCCTGGACCAAGTCCTGTGTAAAATGCTCTAGGAGAGCCTGCTTGAGCAGGGGGGTGGGACTAGATGATCTCCTGAGGTCCCTTCCAACCCTTGCGATTCTGTGACAGCCACCGTGAGAGCAGTGTAGTTGGGACAGAGCAGTCTTCGTCCATGAGAGTGCCCTAAATAGAGTTCCAGCTACATCTTATCTCCCGATATGTGGCCTCTTCCCAACTATGACCAACCTGATTTGTAGTAAAAGAAACTGTGAGTAAAAGAGACTGGAAAGGCAAACAGGAAATTTTTGTGTCCAATTCTGGGCTTCTCTGAATGCTTTAACTTCTCAGAGTAGTTACTTGGGCTCTCTGAGGACATCTGTATTCTCTTTTAATAAAATGGGAATCATGACAGAATTCCTCAACGAGAACAACGATGTTCGTATGCGAGCTGCATCGGGTCTTCCTAATTGCGCTATGTTGTAGGAGCTAGGCTTTTAGGTAATAAGAAAAAGAAAGCTTGATTGTAAAACTCATGTTTTTTTTTTTTTTATCAGGAACATACTTTAAAGTATAATTGCATCCGTTATGTTGGCAGTGGGCATCTAAATCTTAAGGCAAAAAGCAGACTGCATCTTTTCAAGTGCATTGATTTGAAAGTTGAAGTTGGCTTTTCTCCGTTTGATGGGCTGCTCTCTAAATCAGCATAATTAACTAAACTAAAGATTAACGACAGAGAATGGGCCTCGGAGCTTGGAAAGCTTGTGTCACGATTGCCTCCCTGCCACTTTTGTGCTGCTTGCCGAACTATTTTTGTTGGAGGGTGTTTGGATTCAAGAATTCGTTTTTAGACGATACTGGATGCTTCGGAGGATGAATAATGAGAGTCTTTCTGCTTCGGTCACTTAATTCCTGTCCAGAAAAGTTTCACAGTGACCGTAAGTGCTGGCTGCCTCATGTCTGTCCTCTGTTCTGCACTGAAATTGGCAGCAGAAAGACGTCTCCATTACAGAAATGAGCATCGCTGGCGCTCTCCTTGCTCCGGGACAAAACGTGATACAAACCAGGTTTCCAAGCCAATTTAGGAGTGCTTCTGTTATTAATCTGATTAACAATCAGATAAATAACTTTTGATAATAGAGTTACGTTCCTTAATGAGAAGTGTGTTACCACCATTAGTCGCTGCCGATGGTCCTTGGGAGCAAGCCATGTGTTTGATTTCAGGTTTTGCTGTCTGTGCAGGAGGCAGGTGGATACTGGAAGGGGAGACAGAGTACGCGATCCCTGTGGAAGCTTACAGGCAGCACTGAAGGGCATTTATCTGATGCGAATATGTGTTTAGTTAGCAACGGGCAGCTGCCAAAGGGAGTGCCATGATGGATTGTGTTACAGATATTTAGCGCTAATAAGGAAATGAGAGAGCGAAGGAAACTTACCCTTGCTGTGTTGTTATCTCAGTCTCTCTCTCGCACGCGTTTCTATTCACATTTCACCCCCACCAATCTTCTTAACTGTGTTACAACCCCCTACAGAAATTCTGCGAGCGTTTGTGGAAAGCGTTTGTGGAAGGGGACACTGATCTCTCTCAATTTGCACAACCTGAGAATAACTCGCCGTTTTTCTAAAGCGAGTATTTGCAAGAGTTCCAGTCTTCTCCTAATGGGTCTTACCATATAGTTGAGGTCCTGGAAGGTGGCGTCACAGGGGTAAAAGCTGAACTGGTGTGGGGGGTTGACCCTGGCTGGATGCTGGGTGCCCACCAAGTCGCTCTATTGCTCCCCTCCTCAGCTGGAAAGGGGAGAGAAAATACAACAAACAGCTCATGGGTTGAGGTAAGGACAGGGAGAGATCACTTGCCCGTTACCATCAGGGCAAAACAGACTTGACTTGGGAAGATCGGTTTTATTTATTACAAATCAAATCAGAGTAGGAAAATGAGAAATAAAAAATGAGATCGCATTCAGAGCCCCTCGCCGGAGAGCCAGGGATACCAAGCTCATTCACCAAAATAGAATCATAGAATCACTTTGGTTGGAAAAGCCCTTTGAGATCATCAAGTCCAACCTTTAACCTAACCCTGCCATCCCACCCCTAAACCCTGGCCCTCAGCTCCTCATCTCTCCTTCTTTTAAATCCCCCCAGGGATGGGGACTCGACCACCTCCCTGGGCAGCCCCTTCCAGAGCCTGACAGCCCTTTGGGGAAGAAGTTTTTCCCAATGTCCAACCTAAACCTGCCCTGGCGCAGCTTCAGACCATTCCCCCTCGTCCTATCATCTTACCAGGGAGAAGAGGCTGACCCCCACCTCGCTACAGCCTCCTGTCAGGCAGTTGTAGAGGGCGATCAGGGCTCCCCTCAGCCTCCTCTTCTCCAGACTAAATAACCCCAGTTCCTTAACAGCAGGAACTTTGCTTGAAAAGTTTCAGTTCCTACTAAATATGAGCTAAACGAACTACTCAGCCAGCAGCGACTGAGATTAGGATTTTAAGGATGAAGGAGGTTTAAGGATGAAGGAGGTTTTAAGGATGAAGGAGGCTTTAAGGATGAAGGAGGTTTTAAGGATGAAGGAGGCTTTAAGGATGAAGGAGCCAGTTGGTATGTACAAGGATAGGATGAGGCGTAACACAGGCAGAGACCAGTTAGGTGGCAGAGCAAGCGCAGAACCTCAGCCTCACCTTACCCCCTCCTCCTCATCAGCACCCAGCTCCAAAATGGGCACCAAAGGGGCCAGGAGCGAAAGCTCTTACTGGTCCTCACCATCCTTGGGACGCCCTTCAAAAGCCCCACAAACCCTGGGGCTCTGCACTTCTCTTGCCCCCTTCAAGTCCCAATGCTCGAGGTCAATCTTGGCCAGGGCCGAGCCCCAGCCCAGCTCCAGAATCGCGAACGTCCGGTGATTTCTCCCACCCCAAAGGCACCAGGACCCAAAGCCCTTGCTGGGCCTCACCTCCCCCCGGCAGCGCTTTCACAGCCCCACAAACACTTGTTCTTGCTCTACCACCTTTACCCTCGCCACAGCCCTGGTCCTGCAAAACCCCCAGGGTCAGCAGCAGACGTTGGAAGAGCCCAGCAAAGGCCAAGGGGCTCTGTGGAATGCAGCGGGGCCCTGCGTGGGCATCGGAAAAACCTGGCAAAACCTCTGGGATGCTGTAGAAAACAAAGGGCCCTGCCAGCGCACGGGCAAAGCCTGGGCTCTGCTTCCCTGGGGCCTTCACTGGGCTTCTGCAGGGCCCAGCCACCCTCTGGAATTTCCTCGGGCTTTCACCAAACTTTGCCGATGCCCGGGCGGATCCCTGCTGCACTGGGACCTTCGCCAGGTGAAACAGAGGGTGCAAGCAGTGGCAGCAGAGGTTGGGGTGAGGAATCCTGCCTTGGAAATGGCGTTCTGATAACAAAGGCGCAGCCTTGGCTCCAGCACAGCCCAGGACTTCTCAGCTGTCCCCACCACACCCTTGAGTGGGGTCCAAGAGGCCAGAGCAGGTCCTACAGTGCCACCGGAGCCCAGCCCAGCCACGGGCTGTGAACGGCCGCTGCCTCCCCGCCAAAAGCTCGGGGCAGGAATCGATCCCCTCACCCAGGTCCACAAAAAAAGCACAAATCCACTCCCAACACGCAGCCACAGCAGCATTTACCTACAGCTGCAAAGAGAAAACATTACCAGGGTTGAAGCTGCCAGGAAAGCTGGCACAAGGCACCACCCACTTCTGGGCCCTTCTTTTTCCTTTTTTTGTTTATTTTCTTGATAACAGTGATTTATTTTATTGACTGTATGCCCATTAGCAGCCAGGTGCCGCCAGGACTTCCTGGGAAAAGAAAAGCAGGCTTCTTTCACGGTGTTCATTTTATTACAAAATCCTCAGTACCTCAACACACCTCAACCCTTAACAGAGCAACCAGGAAGAACAGAAACCCAGCAATTAATTAACCACTCGCCAAAATACAACGGGGCTTCCTTAGAGAACAAGCGTCGGCAGGGACCGACCAAAGCAGCGGCTCTATCCAAAGGAGCTCTGGTTTTGTCACTAGGTAAGAGCTCCTTCCCACGGATGTTTCGGCAAGGCGGGGGGGCCCTGGGATTTAATGTGTTTGAGCAGACTGCAGCGGGCAAAGAGCCGTTTGGCTGAACGGAGTCAGAGAGGCAGCACAGATGCCAGAAGCACTGCGGAGCTTCACCGCCCACAACCAAGCTCCTCCGGGTGCTAACAGTCGTATCGCAGAGGCCCCGGCACCACGTCTGCGACAGAGCGAGGGGTCTCTGCTCTGAATACGCAGACAAGGACGTTTGGGCTTTTTGGTTGTGTTTTTGTTTGTTTGCTTGTTTCTTTTAAAAAAAAAAAAAGTAGAAGAGAACGCATGGCTGGCATTGAAGCGATCGATTCCCTCTTGCTGACAGAGCTGAAGCACAGCCCAGGCAGCGCTTTGCAGGGGGGACTGCTGCCGATCCCAACACACCTGCGGTTCTGGCCGGGTTAACGTTTGTTCTTTCCCGAGCTCTGGGGTGCTGGCGGCATTTGACTTTGTTCAGTTCTTTTTGGTCTTGGGGGTGTCATACTTCCTCTTGCTCGAGTACCACAGCAGCAGGGGGATCCCGATGGAGGGCAAGGTCATCACGCCAAAAGCTGCCCAGTCCAGCTAGAAGGAGAAATTGTTAAAAGAAGTCAAAACAAATCATCTACAGATGAGTTCTGAAAGCCAACAGATCTTTTCCTGCTCCCAAAGCCAACGGATCTACTCTCAAAACTTCTGGCTCAAATCCCACAGTGCCAGCTCCTTCTCAGAGGTAGCTGGGATGAAAACTCTTTGCTTTTCCTGTGAGAACTTTTCTGGACAACTGACAGGGATTAATTGCAATCCATATTGGGAGTTTTCCAGGTGACCGTAGTACAAACCAAATGCACCCCGAAGTGGCAAAAAGGCACCGCGCTGTACAGTCACCGCGGTGCGATTTCAGTTACCAACTGAAAAGTACTTACAAAATGAGGGGAGAACCTCCTGTCAAACTCACGCTGAGCCAAGATTCCTCCCTGCCCAGGCGCGCTGGTGAAACCAACCTGAAAAAAGTAGGGGGGAGGGGGAAAACACCCACAGCATTTGTCACCTTTCCTTCCTGCAACAGAGCCTGTGCAGCATAAGAGCACAGGGAGATGCATCATCCCCTAACAAGCAGCTCGAAGAGCACAGTCAGGTGTATCTGCTGCCCAGTTAGGGCAAGGATCCTATAAATAATCAACTCACCACGACCTGTCCGCCCTCCTGTGCCAGGTAGGTGATGGTAGCAGAGGTGAAGTTGAAGTAACCAGCTTTGAGAGGCCGCAGAACCACAGTGTGGGACACGTTACTCGCTCTGAGAGCCGTAAGTTAAGGAGAATAGTTGCATTTCATCAAAGGAAGAGAAGTGAGGAGATAGGTAAAGAGCCCTGAATGAGGTGAAGTCACTCCTGGATGAGAGATCTGAGTCCTCTGCGCTTACAGAGACCCAGGCCCATCCGAGGCTGATCCAGCTGCTCCTTCCCAGGCAGAGGAATTGCACAGGGACCTGGCCCTGTCCGCAAGGAACCTTTTTTACGCAGCACCTTCAAGGAATACTGAGGTTTGCATTCAGTGCCCTGCCCAGGGTCTGGCAGGCTGGAATTTCAGCGACAACGAGTGAAGAAGACGAGAGCTACAGGATGCTTGGGATAAGACGGAGCATCAGGAGAGATTGCAAAACATGAAAAGATACGGAGCAATCCTGTCCCACTTGACGTTGAGCATCCCAGAGACAATGCCAAAATCTTCTGGAGGGAAAGAATCATCCGACAGCTCCACATCTAAAGCAGCACTAAACGCAACAAAGAGAGGGATGAGAAGAGAATCTTAGACTTGGCATTCTGCTCCCTGGGGACTGCACCAGAAATGGATGACAGTTCCATACTGACAGTCCAGCAGCTGGAAGAACTCATTTTTCAAACACCAAAAGGCACCAACAGAAGATGGGGAAGTGAGTCAAGCTGTATTACAGCTTGACTGCAGAAAGAGGATGGCAAAGCTGAGAAGAACTGGAAAAAAAGACAGGAAACCAGATGTGAAAAAGAGCTCACAAAGCCGAGAAAGGGAGGCTGCGTGTGTGGGGAGCAGAGCATCACAACTACACCGTGGCTGGGCCGACAGCTAGAACAGGCACGAGGTGAAAGCAGGGAACAGCAAAGCAGGGACAAAGGAACAGGAAGAAGGCAGCAAATTGCAGGGTCAGACCTTCAAGTGGTGGCGGTAAGCTCAGAATCAGGGTGAGCAAAGGCAACAGCGCATCACAGAGCCTAGAAATAGTCTTGTCCCCTACAGACACACACACACCCCCCAACGTCTGCTCCTGGTCAGCATTCGGAGGCTTACCTGGAGCCAACATTGTAGATGTTGTACTGCAAAGTCAAGTCCTTGCCCTCCACTGCATATCTGTTTAACAGAGATTTGGAGGCCAGGAGCCTGGCGCCTTCCTCGCAGTGGGCCACGTAGAACAGGGCAAACGCAGTGAGAATTGGGAACTTCATCTAGAAGCAAATAAATAAATAAATAAATAATGGAATATCATCGATAATTTAATTGCAAAAAGAACATGGATGGGACCACTAAACAAGACAATTTGGGTGTTCACGTACAGCGAGACACGAACGCTGTATAGTTCACAGCAATGGTGATAAAGGATTATCAAAAGCTGGCAGAAAGTTACCCTGGCTCCACACGAGTCTGCAGCTGCCCCTGAAACACCTGCACGTGTTCCTGCAAGGATGTAAGGAGCAGCACAGCAGCGTCCCAGACCGGCAGGCGTGGAAGAAAAGACGATGGTTTTCTCCTTTCTCAAAGCCCCGGCAAATATTGCTCCCCTTTATCACATCTCAGTAATTGGCAAAGGTCTCGGATCACAAAGCCTCTTCTAGTAACTTCCAGAGCAAAAGCCTTGGCAATTAACGGTTTCACCAGTGTTAGCAATTACCAGTTAATTGCCTTTGTGAAGCATGGCAGCTTTCCAGCACTGCCTTACAGAACAGAGTTAGCTCTTCTCCCCATCAAACTCTCTGTTCTTCTCAGAAAGCACGAGCTCCTCCTTTCCAACAGTTGGTTTGCTTTCCTATCTCCAGCCACTGAGGGACCACCAACTCCCTCCAGTGGCCTTTTGGTCCTCAGAAATCCCTGCTTTAGGCCACGTGTCCCAGCTTCCCCAAGCCCAGCGTCTCCCAGAGGACGAGGAGACCCCACCACATGCAACCCCTTAGGAAACCCGTTGGTGCTTTCAAATGCAAAACCTGCTGACACGGCAGAGCCCCCCTGCCACGGGGCCCTTCCTTCCCCTCGAGACTCCCCTGCTACCGCCTTCACACCAGCACTTCCACCCTAGGCTGCTCCTACACACCCGCACAGCCCGCAGGCCCAAGGATAAGCCCCGAGATATCGCTCCACGCAAAACGAACACCACGT